TGACAAGAGGTCAAGCATGGACTCTGATGGCCCTTTTTGACAGCACGAAGATGGCGTRAAAGGGATGGATATCCCCAATGCCTACACTTAGGACTATGAAGGGAGAACTCAGAGGTTTCCCACACTGGCTTCTGGGATGAAACGATGAGGCTTGAGCTGCCTCACTAGGAGACAGATTTGCTTTAGTCAAACCATGTAATGCCTGCGTGGATATGGCTGATTTCTCAAAAAGGAGGAGAATCCAGAATACTGTCATTCAGCTTTCCTATGAACCTGGGTGGTCTTCTCACCCAAGCCCATTGTCCAGCCTGGTGAAGTGAAGGGCAGGCTGGCTCTCTGGGTCCCAGCTGCTCAACCTGTGAAATRATCACCAGGAGCTGCTAGCCTCATGCAGTGACTAAGTCCTTGACACATGGCTAATGTAGCCAAGGTACTATATTTTTATGTTTATTTAACTGCARTTAATTGTTTAAATATTAAAATATACATCTGATTCAATTGTCAGAAAAGTTTTTAACATATTAGGAACAACAGTAGTATGTGAATCTACTTTTTAATTGCAAAGTTTTGAGATCCAACCCTGGTTCAAGAATTTTTGATGAAAAATTTTGGTCTGAATTTGGGTATGCGGCAAGTGTAAAGCACAAACCAGATTTTGAAGATGCCGTATAAAAAAGAAGGTGCAATATCTCCTTGAGAATTTTTATACTGATTATATACTAAGATAACAACCTCTTGAATGTATGGCATTAAATAAAATAGATTTTTAAAATTAACAGTGACACATGTTTCTACTGGGCTAGATTATTCTAACTCCTTTATAGCAATCATTTCTCTGTGTGCAGCTTCTATAGTGAGAATAGAGAGGATTGGAAGTCAAAATAGCAATTCTCTATCTGAAAGAGAATATATATTTTTWAAAATTCAAACGTGAAACAAGAACCTTCCTTAGCCACCTGCCTGCACAACTCTTTTACACACAAATTACATTAAGTAGCATCTCTGCACAGTAAAAGTCTTGAAAGCCTGCTTTGCTCTATCCTGAGCCAACCCAGGCAGCCTCAGTGATTTTCTCCTTCAGTTTTCCTAACTATCATGTTCAGGCGTAGTCAATGTCTGCACCAGCCTGAAACAGAGGCCTGACTGAAACAGAAACAGGACCTCCCCTCACCACAGAATCTCACCCACATGATTTTTCCATATGAACATCAGAAAACCAGAGCAGACTTGATGCATGGATCACACTCGCTGATATACAGTATTTCCTCTTCCTTCTTCCATCTCTCTGTGTGCGGTTTCTATAGCTTTAGTACTCTAGCATCACCTCATTCTTCATTTTTGCATCAATGTTTAGTAAGCACCTTCTTTCAGCCAGGGACTGTGTTGGGTATAAAGGTAAAGAACACACATCCTGCCCTCTAGGAAATCACAGACTAAAAGGTACACATATAAATAATAATTAAATACAGTGTGATAAGGGGGAAACAGATTATASCAGCAGCTCGAGGGAAACGTCAACCAGAAGAGCAATTACCAAGGAGAAGCTGGCCACTGAGCACACTCCTGAAGGAAGGCACATGGGAGAGATGCCATTTGAGGCAGGGAACATAGAATGCGTCAAGGTACCAAGGCATGAGCCTGCAGGATACTGGAAAAATGCAAGCAGTTTGATATGTCTTGAGTAGAAGAAACAAGGTATAAGAGGGAAGAACAGGGAGGCAGTGGCTTAAATGTGATGACAAAGTTGCCATTTGTAAGATACCAGGAAGAAGAGAGGCCATTCAGAGAACTCTTCAACAGGATCAACAGCTTGCAGAAGTTTCCTCCCCACTCAGCTTGGCTGGCGTCTTTCCACAGGTTAGGAAAGTCTCATACCTGGGAGCCATACAGAACCTGGAGCTKCTAGAGATGCCTGGCAACATCTTTGTCACTCAACAGCTTTGTGGGGTGCCTATTAGGAGCCCAGTCACTTACTCACTATAATAAACACACAGAAGACTGGCTCCCTAACCCCAGGATCTCATGGACAATCCAGGGAAATATTATAATAAGCAAAGCCGAGGCAATTTGGCAGGGAACCATTTTTTTTTCCTTTCCTTACTACTTGGAAATAAAAAGCATGTGTTTAAAATGTTTGGGGGGTAGAGATAGCCTGCTCCAAATCAGTGTTCTCTATTCTCAGGGCTCCTTTCCCTACAACTAATGACCTAAGCAGACAAGGAAGGTCTAACTTATTTGAAAGAACAGTATTCATTAGAGACTGTATTTTGAAATCTTTCTAGTTTAAATCATTTTTTGGAGTATTTATCAAAAACGGATCATTATATCCCAAGTTAATGCCAGTATGAAGAGTATGTTCATTACAGAGCACACAGAGAAAGGAGGCTTAAGCTTGGCATATCCAAAGTATCTTCTCCTTCATTAAAAAATAATAATAATAATAAAATGGAAATGTGTAGGAAGTGACTACMTTTGAACTCCATTAGAAGTAGAACAAAATCAGTGCTCTGAGATCACCASTTTGAATATCATTAAACTGTCCACAGTCAAACAGTGACTTAAAAAAATAATCATCAGGTTTTCATATATTATGAGCAGTAAAGTRGATTTTATATATACAGCAGCTTCAAACGTTATCCACCTAAGACCCTCACTGTGTCCTAAAACTCAGTAGTTGGTGTTCCTGCCTCTGAAAGGCTGCAGTTGTTATGAAAACACTGCCATGGCTCAAACCCCAAGTGGAGAGCCAACTCAAATCTGCCACGTGGAAGGACCTCGCTGCTGACTTTCTTCCCTGCGCCCTCTCCTCCTGCCAGCTGCCTTCACACAGCAGGTGAGAGGCGGGTGCCAGGYATCTCAACAGCCTACTGGCTACAGGCAGCCAAAGGTCAAGTCAATGCCTGTGGTGACAGCACAATCCACTGAACCCAAATCTAAGGGTTTTTCTGTCCAAACCCATCAGGGATGGCTTTAATGTCAAGAGCTACGGTAGCTAGCTTTGGGTTCAAATCTGCAATGTGGAATTTGAACCATCTAAATGTCTATCACCACAAGAAAGCTCTACGGGTCTTGTTAACAAAACAGAAAGAACTTCTGCCAATAGCTGAGGAATAAATTCCTCCTTTCCTGCTGCTTGGACCACAGCATAATGAGGGCTCCCCAGCTCTCTTTGCAGTAATAAAATGAAATGTACAGGCTTTTCCTTTTGATGTGTTCCAGTTCAAAAATTTAGAGCTGATGCCTTTTCATCCTTAATTTATCTTCCCTTGTAAATATTTCTGTACCATTTCCAATATCTTGAGTACACACATTTAAAAAAAAAAAACAATTCACTCCTTCTCCTGTTTCAGTTGTAGAACTTTATGTTATGGGTCAAATTTTGGGCTAAATAAACATACCTCCGACTACAGCTCTGCAAATACCTCTGGCAGCAAATTAACTCAAACAAATGTTTTGGTTGGGTGGTGAGGCTGTTTTTTAATGCTCTTCCTGTTCTTGTCTGGAGGCCCATGGATAGAATCACTCCCAAAGGTTCTTCTAAACTTGGTATTTTCTGCCACTTTAACATACAGGTCTCCTTTGTTGACTGGTTTGTTCAAAATTTTACCACCAGAGGGTGCTACACGTTTGCTTTGAAAATTCTTTTCCCTATAGAGCTTGAACAATGGAGGCCCTGCTTCCAAGGAACTGCCCCCCAAACACCTGTAGTGATCAAAGCTTTTCAGGAGGCTTGTACGCAGCACTGACCTTCAAGCACTAAGATTCATTCTGCCTTTGACAATATGTGTTTAGAACCGAGATTTAAAATCTTTGCAGCTTGCATGAGCTGCAGTGATTTAGATATCTGCTGTAAATCAAGCAGGAAATGCTAATAATTTTTTATTCTTTTTTTTTAATTCATTTTTTAGTTTTCAGTGGACACAATATCTTTATTTTTTTAGGTGGTGCTGAGGMTCGAACCCAGTGCCCCGCGCATTCCAGGTGAGCACACTACCGCTTGAACCACATCCCCAGCCCTCATTTTTATTCTTGGGACTTTTGTTGACTATTTACTATACCACAACAACAAACCCAGAACTCTAATATCCTCCTTACTATGCCAAACTATAACAGAAGATGAGTAAAGAGAGAATTTGCTCTGCTATATACACAATGTCACTTTCTAACAGTATGACTTTTACCAATTCTATTTTCAGTATGCATATTTCCAACATCTACTTCAATGTAATTGAGCTTTGGTGCAGTCTGTATTCTAGGAAGCATTTTGATTTATCAACTTCAACTTTTCTTATTAGTGACTTTTTTATGATTCACTGGGATTTGCATGTGAATTATTCAGTTGGTATTTTCTGGTACACATAAAGGAGGTAGGAAGTTCAATTCACTTACGTAAAGCTTTCATGGATAACATTTTTAAATTAAAGTCAGAAACTATGATGTATTGTTATCCGAATTAGCCAAGCAAATCAGAGGTCACCAGATTTTCTGTAAAGGATGAAAAATTTTATATTTTGTGAGTCAAAAGTTCTCTTTCATGYCTACTCAATCTGACCACTGTGGCAAGAAAGGAGCCATAGTTGTAAATAGCTGGAGGTAGCTATATCCCAATAAAACTTGATTTCTATAAACAGGTGGTAGACTGTGGGGTTTGCTGACCCTTGCAAAGATGAATCTGAATGTACACACTCTTATTACAATATTCACAAAGTGTCACTTATACAAGACTTTGATGATTTTCACCCTCCTCACATAATTTTGACATAGGGTGATCTCACTAGTTATTCATTTTAAAGTTCATGGGTCCCTTGGAGGAGTATCCAGAATTCCCTCTCCAGAGCTTTCAAAATCTGGAAAAAAGGTATTTTCTTTGGGCTTTCTGGTTGCCATTGTGTCTCTAGCCTATGAAGATGGCTTATGGTAGGCTATGCAAACAATAAGAAGGATGTCACTCCCAATCGCTGCAGAAACAATCAGTAAAGTAAGCAAAAGGAATAGTTCACCTTCAGACTGATGTGTGGCAAGAGGGGTCTGCGTCTCCTTGGAGTAGGACACTACTTCCCTGGGCAGGAAATCCACCTGGGTGACCTTCGACACGCCCAGCTTATGCAGTCTTCTYCTGTAAGTAACGAAGGACAAAACTTAGAGAAGGAAGTCTTTCATCTCAGAATAGCAATCAGGAATAAAACAGATCACTACAACAAGCMATTCCCAAACTACCTTGACTTCTCAGTACAAGAGGCAGGTCATGACAGAGCTGTCTGACACTCGGGTTCTTGGCCCACCCTGGCCCAAATTGGTGGGATGATGTCAGATAAGTCTGAAGCCGATCCTTCACATTTGAAAGATGTTAATATAGCACTGATGTGTGCAGAGGGCCACACTATGTGGTCTCAGATAAAGTTGTAGCTTGGCATTCCCAAACTAASTGTGACCACGTAGGAAATCATTTCTGAAAGATTATGCAACACTTCAAGTGTTTCCARGTGCCTTTAGATCCCTCATGTCACTTGTCCTCATGACCCCTCTGTGCAAGTAAGGACAGACGCTATCATCTCCATTTTACAGATAAGGAAAGTGAGATCCAGTTCAGGGAACATGCCAAGGGCATACAGCTCAGAGGCAGTAGAATCAGGATTAAAATAATATCGATCCCCCAAATATACAGACCACTGACCCAAGTCCTGGTCCAGTACAATTTACACCAAGAAAAATTCCTTCCTAGGGTTCTTTGAGACCACAAAAACCTAGAGTGCCTCCTAGGTCACCCAAGAAACAGCCAGTCATGGGGGGACCTTGTCTGGGGGTAAACAGAGGTTCCAGCCCCATCACTGCCTGCTGTGTCATCTTGTACAAGTTACTAAGCTCTCTGTGCCTCAGCTTCTTCATCTGTGAATGGAGATCATAGTACTTTTTAATACAAATTTCATGGGCCATGTTTAGGTATTATTATCCATTCACCACACATACATTATGTATTCAGATGTACATAACTGATACACATACATACTTAAAACAGTTTCTGGAACACTACCTTTAGTATACAGATTTAGTATTAGTATTAGACATATTCTATTTTTTAAATGTTTCCAGGMAGAGACACATTTGTATGTCTCTGTGAGAGAAAAATAGAGAAAGGTATAGCAACTATTTAGACAAAATCCCACACTTCCTAGCTTTCTAAGATCAATAGAAACATACCCTGTGCATACTACCATGATTCCTTCTTCCTAGCAGATGGCCTAGATTCAKTTATTTTTCTTTAAATTATTATTAGTAGTTATGGGAGAGAAAGCATACCAATATTAATTTTGTTATCAATATTAATTTCCAAGCATTCTAGAGAAACAAAAATTCTTCTTTTCTATGAGTCACTAATTCAGTTGAGGTGAGATCTAAGATGTGCACGGAGCAGATTCAAGCCAACAGACCAAACACTTCTTGAGAGAAACTACCCAGCTGGTGGTAAGGTGCAGATACATAAGCTTGGCTGTAGCCAGAGATCACGGACGCCCAGGCTACAAGAGCCCAACATTTAGAACTCTGGACCACAAGAATGCACAGGAGGGCTGGGGTGGGACCCAGCATTCCCACATAGTTCCCTCATATGAATTAGGGAGAAACACAGAAAATGTACTAGCAACAAAATTATCAAACCAGGTAAAAGGCTCCAAGTCTCAAAGGAAGAAATTCAAGCTATAATTTTTAAAGCTTCTTGGGTAAGAAAAGATTGTTTTCCTTCCTGAAGGAAAGGCTCTTTCTTGATGCATGTGAATAAGAAAACATGGATGGACGCCTCAGGACTTCTTGAAGCAAAGCCTCCTCTGCCATTCCATTGCCCAGCACCTTTCTGAAGCCCTTGTAGGTTAGTCTTTAGCCAAGGTCCAGGAACATACTTCTACTGCTTCAATCTGGGGCCATCGCGGACACAGAGATAGCACCCTGGACCCTCAGCTTCCATGGGCATCTGTATGAGGGCCAGTCATTTCTAGGTTCTGACTCAGTGATACCTATACCTGGAGGCAGGGATTTGAGGACATCTCACTGAAGGTACTGTCTTGCTGAGTGACAAGATACAGGCTCTGGACAGTAGGAGGCTGACTGTAACTTGAAATCCATCATGGCAAATGAAAAACAACTAGTGAGGTAGCAAAGCATAAGGATCTCAGTTAGAAACTGGGTTCTAAGCCCTGCTCTGAATGAATGATAGGTGAAAGCCCCAGACAAGTGACAACCCTCTAAGCCTCATGCTTCTTGTCTGTAAAATGGGTCCTGAGTTGWGAGGATCAGACAAGCTAATACTTGCAAAGCATGTAGTTTGGTGTCTGTCATCTCACAAGTGACTCTTGGCCCAAGCAGCTCTATTTTAGTTTATCTTTTTGAMTAAAATTATAATAATGCATATATTCATTAAAAATTAGAGAAGACAGATTCATGAACATTCTAAACTCATGTTTTTTTTTTAAGGCAGTAGAGTTGAAGATTATCCCTGATGATAAAATATAGGGATCACACTTCCATTTTTCTTTTTATACGGGCACATATATAGGTTCAGACTGCTTGAAACAGTCCATTTAGCTTTTGCTTTCACTAAAAATATAACTGTRAAACTTCCCTTTTTGCAAAACTTAGCGCGAATGAGTTTATTCCACTAAAAATATTTTCTTGTTTCAATAATAATTGAATAATTTCAATAATTATAGCATTCTAGCCATTTTCTCAAGGATGCTGTGTTTTTGAGTTCAAGATTCCAACTCAACCCAAGCCACTAAATATAAATAAAAGCCGAGTTGCTGTCATATGATTCTCCCAGTACRTGGACTGGTTGACACATTGATAAATTTGTGGTTCTCAGGCTTGAGGGTGAGTCTGTCTCAAATAATTTATAACTGTAGAGAAACACATTGTAATACTTTTAAGCATACTGGCAGATAACTGTATTTTTCCATATAATGTCCAGATTGATTAAACTGCATTTATATTAAATGATTTTTGTGTGTGTGGCTATTTTGCTGTCGTTTTAGTAACAATATGTCACACACTTTTCATACTTTTATCTTATTTTGTCCTTATTAAAATTTCATATCATATTCCAACTTCACAGACAAAAAACAAAAACAAAAAGCAAAGCCCTGAGGCTCAGTGATGCTAAGAATTGTGCTTGAAATTGCAAGGGTTGCAAGTGAAAAGACCCAGGCCTTAGCTCTATTCAATAGTAATTCCAAGGGCCACGTGCTTCAAAAAGGTGATGTGCTGATTCTCTTCCCTGCTATTTTTTTTCTACTGCCTCCTAACCACCCATTCATGCAGGCACCATTATTACAATCTAACATAGTAGAGGTCCAGAACATGTGTTCRTTTTATAAGCAGAAGAAAGGATTCCTGAGAAGTGTCCTGGAGTAGATGACCAGGGCATAATGGATCTGTTTCTGAGGGAAGCCCACGTCCCAGCCATCCCAGAAAGGCTGGCCAGAAGGTGGCGCCCTTTCACAAGAAAGATTTTCCTCCAGCTCTGCCACTGAGTCCTCCCTCACTGATGGCCTTCTACTGCACCACCCCAGGGTCTGCCTGTCTCAGTTGATCCAGAACATATGTGCTATGATCTTGTAATATAGACCTTCTTCAATTTCCCTAAAATATTTCTACAATTTATCAGCCGACAAAGTTAYCAAATAACTATGTCTAACAGTTGAAGTATGTACTAGTTATTTTCTTTTAAAGTATGAACTTTTAAGTATCATGTTTCTTATTTTTTACTCAAGGCTTTACCAGCTCATAATTCTTTTATTTAAAGGTGCAAGTTAAACAACTGAGCAAAGGGGAGGGATTGCTGTACTATTAATACTATTATAATTCCCATTCCTTCTGATTAGACTGTAAGTTCCATGCTGGCTTCTCAGTTCAGGCTCTGTGGACATCTTTCCTGCCATCCTGCCACCCCTCCTGCATAGCCCGTGCCGTGYCTGTACACTGTGGTACACATCCTCACTTCTGCTACAGCCCATGACACATATCACTGTATTCACTTGCTTTTCATGTCTGTCTTCCTGTCTTGGCTGCAAACTTACTTTTTATCCCTTACTAATCTATCTCTGTAGCCTGGGGCTTGGTTAAGTGTCAGATACAGAGAGAGTACTAAATAAATGTTGGAGGAAGGAAGGGAGAGAGGGGGAAAGAGAAGAGGTTAAAAGAAGAAATATGATAAAAGCATAAACTGAGACTTTAATGGTCTGCATCCTGACTGTTGTAGCATTTTTTAATCAAATCATACTCCATATTTTTATCYTGGTAATTCATTCCAAAATAATAGACTTCAGTGATTTTTTTAAATTACTAAACTAAATGTATAGAATTTTATATAAGAACACATAAAAATCAATATCATGTAAAAATTATGTAAGTCTCATCTATTTGGATTAATTGTGATCATGCTTAATAAGAACAGAGAAAATACAAATTGGAGAAGTGCCAGGGCAGGGTTTCCCAGAGTATGGTCTCTGACCTGCAGCATTAGAGGCACCTGGGAAGAAGTTAGAATGTAAATTCACAGTCCCCACCCCAAATCTATRGAATCACAAACTCTGGGGGTGGGACAGAGTGATCTGTGTTTTAATAAGCCTGCCCATGTTCTCTTTCTCACCAGCTCCAGGAATTCTGGTGCCCACTGAAGGTTGAACACCACTGGCTTAGAAATATTAGACAGTGGAGAGAGAGAGACTTCAGTGTTTTACCAGAATCAGTTGGGCTTCCCATTTCCTAGTCAAATTCCAGAGCACATGGCTTAGTGCCGCCTCAGAAAGAAGATGTTCCTAGACCAAGCTTATGAAGCTCTATGAAGCAACCTAAGTGACAGGGCAAGAAGATGAGTGTCRGATAAAGAGGACAGCAGTGTAAAAAATGTGAAGAAACAGCTTACATCTGTCCTAGATCTAAAACTAAGAAGTCAAGTAAAGAATCCAGACATACTGGGCAACAGAACAACAGGTCTCTCAGGAGCTGACTTGATATTGTCCTCAAGTGATATTGTCCTAAGTTGACTTTTTTTTGAAAAAGACCTGCATTTCTCTCATGGCTGAGGCTGAATGCTCCCTTAAAAGACGTGGATCTTCCTCTCTCCTT